ACATTAGAAAATGCACTTATCAAAAACCTTGGCAGAGGAAGCTGCATGGAAATTTGCGGATGAAAATGGCATTGACTTGGTAACATTGCATCCTGGATTTGTTATTGGTCCTCTGTTGCAGCCAACTCTCAATTTAACTTCTGAGGCTATTGTGGACTTCATTAAAGAAGGTATTCTTTGTATAGGCATTCTGAACAGTGGCTTCCATAAGTCTTTTTCTGTAGATTTTGACTTTGTCCCTTAACTGCTAAATGCTCAATTTTCCATTTTGAAGGGAAAGAAACTTTTAGTGATGGAATCTATAGATATGTTGATGTTAGAGATGTTGCTTATGCACATATTCTAGCATTTGAGAATCCTTCAGCCAGTGGCAGATACTGTCTAGTTGAGAAAGTGACATATTCTTCTGAAGCTCTAAAGATTTTAAACCGGCTTTACCCTTCCCTCAACCTCTCTGCAAAGTAAGTCCATAATGTGCACTACATTAATCAGTAACAAGTTTTCTTGCTCTTTTATGAATTAATAATTTTTCAAATTATGCATCGCCAAATTCCTAAGACATGGCTAAAGCAGCGCATTTCGCCCAAGTTATAATTCTTAGATTTGGTTTTTCACAAATCGGTAAGAGACTGAAATGGTATATATCTACTCACTAGTAATAAGAGCATACACAACTAAATAGACGATATCTTGTGCAAATACATTCAGCTGACGCATGCGTTAGATGAGCTGTGTCCCTATCTTTTGAAATTCTATCCTATCTAAGACTTGTTCTAATTGATGAAGAGGCAAAAGGGAGCGAAAAATGGAATTTTGAGATCAAACCTCGACGATAATGTCATAAACCCTAGGACTTTAGAGAGAGAGAGATAGTTCTTAAGTAAGTAAATGAAGCAATTTGAAAGAAATAAATCATATTTTATCGGCATGCATGGCATTTTATACTAGACACAACATGACTATACGACTATACATGTCTAAACAAAGAGATGCATGCAAAATATTTGTCCGTTGTTTAAGAATTGTTGTATCTTTTTAACATTCTATGTTATTGCAGTACTACATATAATTAGGCTGCCACCCCTCCTTAGCAAATAGTGAAAATTACCCAATTCC